CCGTTAACTCGGATACAGATGAGACAAAGCTCAATCATGTGTATGCCTTTGTTCTGAAACAAACAGTATGGTTGAGTTGCCAAAATTCAGTGCTAGATTTTCAGCTATTGACCACGTCAGCCCACCTTGGGCCGGTGCGTTACAAAAGGGGGATCCTGCTCTCAGAAGAAAAGGAGCAGCAGGCACATCTGCCATCCGCGTGGCCACCGCGCGTGCGCTCTGCCCACCTGACCATTTTGTCATGACTAACACGGTCTGCACACAGCTTGTCCGGTGGAAGCCTCTCAGCCACCCCAGGGCTTGTGCACATGTGTGTGTGTGCACACACGTGCAGGTGTGCAGCTGTGTCACAGTCAGCGCCAGCTGCCCTAACAGCACTGCAGACCAGGTGCCTAAACCTCAGGCTGCGTTTCTCACAGCTCTGGAGGCTGGAGCCTGGGGTGCAGGCAGCGGCGCGGCTGCGGTGAGCGAGGCTGCCCCTGGTGTGCAGCCCACGCCTTCTCATTGTGTCTGTCCCTGGCCGAGAGGCTGCGGAGGGGAGACGCTCCCACCACTCGGCCATGAGGGCTGCACCCCCACAGGCCTCACACGGGGGGTTTAGGTCTGCAGCCTAGGACTCTGCGAGACCAGCGTTCAGGCCATAGCAGTGTGCGTGCATCTCTGTGTGTCTGTGTGTGCATATGTACGTATATGGAAATGCATGAAAAAGAAGCACCATGAAAACTGCGTTAAGTTTGCATTTTTGGCACCAACAGAGCCTTCGCTTCTCATTCCATTTTCCCACAAGCTTCGTGCAGCCCTCGCGTGTGCAGGGATGACAGAGCAGGTCACTCCAGTAAAAGGCCCTGTCCTGCAGGCTGCCGCCCAGGCCCCAGGGCCTAACTCCGAGCTCCCGTAACCGTCACCGGTGGGGCCGGGTGCAGCCATGTGTTGCGTGAGAACAGTTCCTTTCCCAGATGGAGTTTGGGGCAGATTCTGCGTTTCTCCCACTGCGCTCAGCTTGGCACCGTTGCTCTCTCAAGACACGGGGCTGGTGTGAGGCTGCCAGGAAGTTTCTGGAAGCAAGCGAGCTATTTGGCTGCAAGTGAAACAGGCATCCAGCCTGTGGGGAGCAGCTCGGACTAGACTAAGTTACTGGAATTAAGACTTATTCTATGCATCTGCTCTCCTCTGTGGGGAGCAGCTCGGACTAGACTAAGTTACTGGAATTAAGACTTATTCTATGCATCTGCTCTCCTCTGTGGGGAGCAGCTCGGACTAGACTAAGTTACTGGAATTAAGACTTATTCTATGCATCTGCTCTCCCACAATATGGCGCTGGGAGAGAAGTAAACAGCTTCCGCACAGCTGCCTCCAGTTCAACCAATTAACTGTAGGACTTGCTCCTGATTGGAGAGCAGCGTACTCGGCGTGTGGGCAGCCGAGTTGGGATTGGCGGAGGAGGACTATAAAGGAGGAGAGAGACGGCATGCACGAGGAACATCTATGGGGAACATCTAAGGGAACCCGTGCAGCCCCCGAGAAAGCCGGCCGGCGGTGTGCTGCTCCCCTGCGGAAGTGGGGAATGCGGCCAGGGGGAACTGCCCTTCCACGGAGGTGGAAGGGATAGTAGCCAACCCGGGAAGAACCAGCAGCAAACCCGGGGAGGGCCGAGCAGACGAAAGAACAGCGCAGGGTCCTGTGTCGTTCCTCCACGAAGAGGGGGAGCGACATAATGGTGCCGTGACTCGGATATGAAGCCTAGGCAAGGTCCTGTGTTGCTCCTCCACGAAGACGGGGAGCGACATAATGGTGCCGTGACTCGGATAGGAAACTTAGGAGGGAAGAAACGGGAAGAAGCAGGAAAATACCGGAGAGAGAGACTAGCGAAGAGCCTAGGGGAAAGCCGGACGAGAAAGGTGCCGGAAGAAGCTATTGAAAGCCTAGGCATAGACTTGGATATGGACTGTGGGAAAGAAGTTAGGATTGAAAGCGAAAGTGAAAGCTTTCATAGACTCAGATGCGGACTATGGCGGGGAAGCTAGGAGACTGAAAGCGAAAGTGAAACCTGGAGGAGGCTTGGACTCGGATACGGACTGTGGGGAGAAGCCAGGAGAAATGAGAGGAATATTGTTGGAAGAAAACTTAGGGAAACATACCGGGTAGAGAAAAATGTTAGGGAGGATGAAGCCGCGAGTGCAGGCCGAGGCGGAGACATAAGCCACCTTGGAATTCTTCAAGTCACCCCGGGGAGCAAGAGGCGAAGATCTGGAACCAGAAGCAGAGACGTGGGCCGCCAGGTTGAGCCGCGCAAAGCCGGGAAGCTGCGCAGATGAGAGAGGCGCGGGCTGAAGCTGCTCAGCCGGAAAGCTGCCGAGAAGCAGCCTCGGGGCGGGCGCAGCCGGGAAGCCGCGGGGATAAGAATGAGAGCGGGAAGCCGCAGGGATAAGAGAAACAGAAGTTTAGAAGTAAAGTGAGAAAAATAGGAATGCTGGAAGATAGAAGTAAAATGGGAGAAATAGGAATGCCCGGAGATAGAGAAATAGAGAAATAAAAAGGCCTCCCTACAACACTGCAATGTGAGAGCTTGGATTCGGTCTGCCTAATCAAGTGAGGCGATGAGCACCTGCGGGCAGCTAGCAGCTTATGCGCCGCAGGTCACCGAAGACAGGCACGAATTAACATCAGTAAGGCTTCCCCACAATACAACAATATTAAGCTTGGATTCGGTCTGCCTGATTTAAGGCGGTAAGCGCCAGCAAGCAGCTCGACCAGAGTATGAGCTGCAGGTCACCGAAGATAGGCACGAACCAACACTAATAAGTCTCCCCCACAATAAGGCAAGGAGAAGGCTTGGATTCGGTTTGCATGATAGAGCTTGTAAGCCCCTGCAGGCAGAGCAAAGCATGCGCTGCAGGGCACCGAACACAGGCACGCATCAGCGCCTAAAAACCTCCTCACAACATGGCGAAGAGAGGACCCGGATTCGGTTTGCCTGATGGATAGGACTTGTAAGAGCCTGTGGCAACTCTAGCAAGTAGAGCAGAGTGTGTGCTGCGGGACACCGAAGACAGGCGCGTATCAACGCTAAAAAATAAAAAGAAAGGGGGATCTGTGGGGAGCAGCTCGGACTAGACTAAGTTACTGGAATTAAGACTTATTCTATGCATCTGCTCTCCTCTGTGGGGAGCAGCTCGGACTAGACTAAGTTACTGGAATTAAGACTTATTCTATGCATCTGCTCTCCTCTGTGGGGAGCAGCTCGGACTAGACTAAGTTACTGGAATTAAGACTTATTCTATGCATCTGCTCTCCCACAATATGGCGCTGGGAGAGAAGTAAACAGCTTCCGCACAGCTGCCTCCAGTTCAACCAATTAACTGTAGGACTTGCTCCTGATTGGAGAGCAGCGTACTCGGCGTGTGGGCAGCCGAGTTGGGATTGGCGGAGGAGGACTATAAAGGAGGAGAGAGACGGCATGCACGAGGAACATCTATGGGGAACATCTAAGGGAACCCGTGCAGCCCCCGAGAAAGCCGGCCGGCGGTGTGCTGCTCCCCTGCGGAAGTGGGGAATGCGGCCAGGGGGAACTGCCCTTCCACGGAGGTGGAAGGGATAGTAGCCAACCCGGGAAGAACCAGCAGCAAACCCGGGGAGGGCCGAGCAGACGAAAGAACAGCGCAGGGTCCTGTGTCGTTCCTCCACGAAGAGGGGGAGCGACATAATGGTGCCGTGACTCGGATATGAAGCCTAGGCAAGGTCCTGTGTTGCTCCTCCACGAAGACGGGGAGCGACACCAGCCCAGGTCGCAACCTCGCCTCGTGAAAAGCCGCGTGGGAGGCCGCGCGGGAGCCGCATCCCCGCCGCAGGCCCGCCGAGGGTCAGGTGAGGCGCCCTGTGGGGACGTCCTCAGAGGCGCGCCCTTCCCTGCCGGCCCGACGCCAGTGCCGGGCTGAGCCGGCCGGGGGCCGGGGGCCGGGGGCCGGGGGCCGGGGGCCGGGGGCCGGGGGCCGGGGGCCGGGGGCCGGGCCGTCGTCCGCGCAAATGGCTTCCCCGTCGGCCGGCGCGACCCCGGCTGGGGACCCTGTGCGAGGCGACAGCAGCCGGGCGCCCGTCAGGGCCGCGCTAGGGGCCGGCGGCTGAGGCGGCGCGGGGCGAGGGCGCTGAGGGCCGTGCCCTGTCCGACGGCGGCGCGGGGCGCAGCGAGGGACACGCAGGCCCCGTCCTGCCGCACCGTCCCGCCGAGGGCACCAGGCCACCGGGGCGACCCTCGCGGAGGGCGCGAGGCCTGCCGGGAAAGGCCGCGGGGCTTGACGGGAAAGGCCGCGGGGCTTGCCGGGAATGGCCGCCCGGGCCGCGAGGGGCCCGCGCTCCACGCAGCCGCAGCGGAAGCCGGCCCGCGCCCGCGCCCCGCGCCCGCGCCCCGCGCGTTCAGGACTCAGATAGTCTGGGACTGCGCGCACACCCGGCGCCCCGCGCTCGCCCACTCCCCACGGCCGCCCCGCGCTCCGTCTCCCTCCCTGGCTGCCTGGGCCCTCACGGCCTGGTGGTGACGCAGGGAAGCTGTGGCCGCACCAGGTGGGCCAGGCCAGGCCAGGCCCGCGAGGCCGTGGGCTGTGCCTTCTCACGCGTGGAAGGGCGTGCATTGTGTGCAAGGTAGAGGGGAGAGGCCTAGTAGGCCGCCCTCAGGCCGCGGCCGGCTGGAGCACCCCTTTCCGCTTGTTTCTTCGTCTTGGCGGGGATAGCAGGGAACAGGAGGCAGCACTGTCAGTTGTGTTTTCAAAACGTGTGGACAGCTTTGGCAAGCAGCGAGCAGAAACGCTGCCTGGGCTGGGGGTGGGGTCGTGGGTATGCCTTACAAGTACGCTCTTCCGCGGACATTCTGTTCTGTGGGATGAGTGGTAGGCGCTCCTGGTTCTGACGGAAATGCTCGGGGCCCGTGGGGAACACCCACGTTCTGTTGAGCACGCGCCAGGGAGCCATGGGGGCCTCGCTGACCGCTGCCTCTGGTCTCTCCCCAGGTGGCCGGGGCCAGGACGGGAGCCCTGTCATCACCTTCCCCGACTACCCGGCCTTCAGTGAGATCCCAGACCAGGAGTTCCAGAATGTCATGACCTATCTCACCGGCATCCCCAGGTACGTGGGGTGCGGCCGCCGAGCGCCCTTGCTTCCCTAGGGAGGTGGACGCCATGGTGGGTGCCCCAGGGACTTTAAGAAGCAGGCAGCACCCTGTTGGGTTGATGTCATCGTTGGGTTTCCCAGGGACTGTGGGACAGGGTCAGGGCCCTGTCGGGTTGATGGCATTGTCGAGTTTCCCGGTGACGTGGGTCGGGGTTGGGCCCTGTCTCCTAAGGGAACTGTGGCCCTGAGGGACTCCGGAGCCTGCCTGAAATCCGAGCTGCGTCGCAGTCCTGTTTTTCCAGCACCTGACCAGGCTCCTCTCTGCCTTGGGGCTCCTCATCCCGTGGTCAGGTCCGCGTGAGCCCGGGCAGCCGTCTCTCTCCTTCCTGTGTGTCACCAGCCTCCTGCCTGCTCCGGACGCAGCGCCCCACATGGGGCGGGGGGACCTTTCTCATGACAAAGGTGGAAGCCACGTGCAGCGGGGCTGCTGGGGAGTCTGGTCTGTGCAGGGAGCCCGTCTCTCTTGCCTGTCCGTGGTGTGGTTGCGTCCTGCGGGTGAGGCCCCTGCCTGCCCTTCCCGGGAGACAGCTGACCCCAGGGTTTGTCACCAGGAGTCTGGCTAAGCCAGTGTTCCCGGGCCTGTGGTTTCCTCTTTCACTGCACACAGATTTGGAGCCCTGTTTCCCAATCAGGAAGGCAACGAAGCCGCTTTGTGGCTGCCAGGCACCCTGGGCTGTGAGCAGAGGAGGCCAGGGCTCAGCATGACTGTCATCCGCCTAGTGTTCCAAGCAAATGTTGACACAGTTGGCCTCCCACACCAAAAGTGGCCACTGCTGCTCCTCCGGGGACAGTGAGCCATGCATGGGCAAAGACAGGAGTATCATTCGGCACACACGATGCATGGAGACAGGAATGCCCTTCCACATACAGCGTATATGAAGATAGGAGTGTGTGTGTGTGTGTGTGCACATGCGTGCATGCGTCGGGTGGAGGTATGTGCATGCGTGTATATTGTGTCTTGTGTGTGTTGGGTGGATGAGTACGGGTTTGTAGGTGTTGGATGTAAGTGTATATATGTGTGGGGTATATGAATGTGTGTGTATGTTATGTATGTTGGGTTGTGTGTGTTGGGTATATGTTCAGGTGTCTATGTTGGATGTCAGTATGTGTGTGTCTTGTGTGTTGTGGGTGGGTGTGCTAGGCATATGTGTGCATGTTGGGTATGTGTTGGGTGTGTGTTGGGGTATATGCATGTGTACATCTTGTGTACCTGTGTGTGTGTGTTGTGTTTGGGGTGTATGAACGGGTGTGTATGTGTGTGTTGGGTATATGTGTATGTGCGCATGTTGGTTTGTGTACATATATGTATTGTGTGTAATGCACACACTGAGTTGTTGGGTGGAGCTGTGCGTGTCGGTGAGTGTGGTGTGTTGAGTGTTACATGTATGTGTATTGCTGGGTGTGTGCATGTTGGTGTGTGTGTGTGTTCTCTGTGTGTGTGTGTGTATGTGGGGTCACGGGCCTCATTGTGAGAGTGGTGTGTGTTCTGTGTGTGTGTGTATGTGGGGTCACGGGCCTCGTTGTGAGAGTGATGTGTGTTCTGGGGGGGGGTCGTGGGCCTCGTTGTGAGAGTGGAGCGTGTTCTGTGTGTGTGTGTGTATGTGGGGTCACGGGCCTCGTTGTGAGAGTGATGTGTGTTCTGTGTGTGTATGTATGTGGGGTCGCGGGCCTCGTTGTGAGAGTGGTGTGTGTTCTGTGTGTGTGTGTGTATGTGGGGTCACGGGCCTCATTGTGAGAGTGGTGTGTGTTCTGTGTGTGTGTGTGTATGTGGGGTCACGGGCCTCGTTGTGAGAGTGATGTGTGTTCTCTGTGTGTGTGTGTGTATGTGGGGTCACGGGCCTCATTGTGAGAGTGGTGTGTGTTCTGTGTGTGTGTGTGTATGTGGGGTCACAGGCCTCGTTGTGAGAGTGATGTGTGTTCTCTGTGTGTGTGTGTGTGTATGTGGGGTCACGGGCCTCGTGAGAGTGGTGTGTGTTCTGTGTGTGTGTGTATGTATGTGGGGTCACGGGCCTCGTTGTGAGAGTGATGTGTGTTCTGTGTGTGTGTGTATGTGGGGTCACGGGCCTCGTTGTGAAAGTGATGTGTGTTCTGTGTGTGTGTGTATGTGGGGTCACGGGCCTCCTTGTGAGAGTGATGTGTGTTTGTGTGTGTGTATGTGTGTTCTGTGTGTGTGTGTGTGTGTGTGTGTATGTGGGGTCACGGGCCTCGTTGTGAGAGCGGAGCGTGCTTGTTGAAGTTCTGAAGAAAACAGAGTGCAGCTCCCCGTCTGCCTTTGTGGGGGAGAAACAGCAAGGTCAAGCGCAGTCCCCGTGAGTGGGCCAGCAGCTGCTCAGGGCAACGGACAGGACCGTGACAACCAGACACGGGCCCAGAAGCGCCTGGTCTCTCACTGGGGTGAAGCAACCCCAGCTGTGTGTGTTGGGGCGGGGAGAGGAGGCAGGAAGCCACAGTTAGAGGAGTGCTCCCTCTGGTGGAGACACTGAGCACTGCGCTGGTCCCTGGATTGCCTCTGCAGGAAGCTCTTCTTGGGGGAAGGGGGCGTTCCCAGGCCCGGTGCTCCCCCACCCATCTTCGCTCTTCTTGGGGGGAGGGGGCGTTCCTAGGCCCGGTGCTCCCCCACCCATCTTCACCCATCTTCACTCTTCTTGGGGGGAGGGGGCGTTCCTAGGCCCCGTGCTCCCCCACCCATCTTCGCCCTTCTTGGGGGGAGGGGGCGTTCCCAGGCCCGGTGCTTCCCCACCCATCTTCACTCTTCTTGGGGGGAGGGGGCGTTCCTAGGCCCGGTGCTCCCCCACCCATCTTCACCCATCTTCGCTCTTCTTGGGGGGAGGGGGCGTTCCTAGGCCCGGTGCTCCCCACCCATCTTCAAGTAGGAAGAGGAAGGCGTCAGTGCAGTAGTGGAGAAGCCTCTCACTGAGATTGTTTCTTTTTTCTTTTTTGACAGGCAGAGTGGACAGTGAGAGAGAGAGACAGAGAGAAAGGTCTTCCTTCCGTTGGTTCACCCCCCAAATGGCTACTACAGTTGGCGCTGTGCCGATCCGAAGCCAGGAGCTTTTTCAGGTCTCCCATGGGGTGCAGGGCCCAAGGACCTGGGCCATCCTCCACTGCACTCCCAGGCCACAGCAGAGAGCTGGCCTGGAAGAGGGGCAACCAGGACAGAATCTGGCGCCCCCACCGGGACTAGAACCTGGTGTGCCGGCACCGCAAGGCGGAGGATTAGCCTAGTGAGCTGCGGCGTGCGTGGGCCCGAGACGGTTTCTAAGGGATAGTAGTTATCTTTTGCAGCCAAGCATAGATTGTATCATGTTTTAAAAAATAAATGTTTAAAAAAACACAGTGCTGATTTCAGCGCTGTGTATTCCACGCGAAAGGCAGGGACCCGTGTGAGCCCATCTTAGGCAGAAGTGCACAGGTGGTTCCAAACACTTGGGCTGAAGGCTGCCCGTGAGGTGCACGTGGACCTGTGCCACTCATCAGCCCAGGGTGGCAGGGACCCAGGGCTCAGAGCGCCCATAAGATTCCTCACTGCTAGGAGCCAACCTGCGGAGCAGCCCTGGGGGCCAGTGTCGCCCTGCCCGCAGGAGGGGGCTCTGTGGCCCTCCCAGCCTCGTGAGCTGTGGGGGGATGGCAAGGCAGACGCTGGGTCCCCTCGTCGGCGAGGGCTTGTGGAGGAGCTCCTTGCCCTGGGCGCGCTTGGGGCCCCACAGCGAGCACACTCACAAAACCTCGCAGTGCTGCCGTTCTGTGGAGGTGATGTGGCTGCGTGCGGCCATAGGATTACAGGAAGACGATGCTTGAGAGAGAAAACGCAGGATGAGGGGCAAGGGAGGGGTGGCAGGGAGAGCAGCCCCTGGAGATGGGACTCAACGAGGAGTGCGGGAGGCGACCTGGGTCACGGGGAGGAACAGTCGCCACAGGGACCCTGGGCGGGAGCAGCCGCTGTGCAGCCAGGATAAGGGGCAAGACAGAGAGGCCCCCATCACAGCTGGAGCAAGATGACAGAGCCCCCCATCACAGCTGGAGGAGACAGGGGCCCCCATCACACCTAGGGTGAAACAGGGGTCCCCCATCACAGCTGGGGTGAGACAGACGGGGGTCCCCCATCACAGCTGGGGTGAAACGGGGTGAGACAGATGGGGGTCCCCCCGTCACACCTGGGGTGAAACACAGGGGTCCCCCATCATACCTGGAGTGAGATGACAGAGGCCCCCCATCACACCTGGGGTGAGACAGACAGGGGTCCCCATCACATCTGGAGTGAGGCAGACGGAGGTCCCCCAGAGTCGTGGCTAGGAATGAGATGGACAGAGAAGACCCCCAATCAGCTGAAGTGAGACAGATAGGGGACCCCCAATCATAGGTGGAGGAGACAGAGCTGGGCCCCCAGAGACGTTGGAGGTCCCCCAGAGTCATAGCAGGAGTGAGATGGACAGAGGATTCCCCCAGACTCTCAGCCGGAGTGAGATGGGGGCTCCCCGGGGTCATGGCCAGGAGAGACCGCGCAGTGGGCCCCTTCAACAGTCTCCTCTCTGAAGCGGGACCTCTGACCCAGCCCTCCCCTCACTCTAAGAGGCGGAGCTGAGCCCGTGCTCTGTGACTGCTCCCACTCCCCGTGCCTGCACTGCATGCATGCCGTGATCTCCACGGCCTACTGCGCCCCAGTGACCCTGCTCTCCACCTGGCCCCGGGCTGGAGGCCTTGGGGAGCCTGACCTGGGGGCCTACAGGGGACACTGAGGCTGGGGCGCCCGGGAGCGCCCACCGTGAGAAGTGACCAGTGGTGGCTTGGCTCCCTGACTTCCCTGTGCCCCGGCCCTGTCTGCCCCTCCCACCGGGGGCACTGGTGAGACCTCACCACCTGGTGAGACGCTGGTGAGTCTCCTGCAGGGCCTCAGCCTGCTGACCTGGGCCCCTGTGCACGAAGCAGCCGGCCAGACACAGCTGGGAAATGAAGCCCCGGGACCCCTGCGCCCTGCTGGTTGTTAAAGACCAAGGCCGCTCACCTGACCTCTCGAGCCTGGTCAGCACCTGGCCTCAGTGCCGCAGCTCTGCACCCTGCAGGACTCCCCAGAGACACCCTGTGCCAGTGGCCAGCTCGTCAGTGATGACGGGGGACGGGTGGGCTTGGCGAGACCCACCTCTCTCTCTCCCAGCTGCAGGGGTGAGGGAGGTACACTCACCCCTGCCCCCATCCACACCCCAGGCCGCCAGAGCCCTGTCTGGAGGTGCAGTTTCATATCTGACCACAGAGGGCACTGTGGATCGAAACAGCCCCCCAAGGTGTGGCGGGGTGTTCAGCAGCGGGCCGCGGGTCCCTGAGTCGCCCAGGTCTTAGTCTGAAGTGCTCAGGCGTCTTAAGCTCTGGTGGCGGCAGCGTGTAGGAGATGAACCTGCTCACAGCGATGAGGGTTTCTGTTTTGTTTGTTTGTTTACAATTTATTTATTTGAAAGGCACAAGAGTTGGGGGAAAGAGGAGAGACAGAGAGAGAGGTCTTCCATCCGCTGGTTCACTGCCCAAATGGCTGCAGGGGCTGGAGCTGAGCCGATCCAAAGCCAGGAGCCAGGAGCTTCTTCCGGGTCTCCCACGTAGGTGCAGGTGCCCAAGGACTTGGGCCATCCTCCACTGCTTTCCCAGACACATGAGCAGGGAGCTGGATTGGAAGTGGAGCAGCCGGGACTCAAGCCGGTACCCATAGGGGATGTCGGTGCTGCAGGCAGTGGCTGTATCCGCTGCGCCACAGCGCTGGCTGGGTCCTGTTTTACAAGGACTTTTAAAAACCACAGAAATGCTTCCTCTGGTCACAGATGTTTCCTCCCATGGCACACAAGGTCCTCACCCCTCACCCACCTCTCTGTCCCCATTTCTGCCCCAGAGCAGCCTCCCGTGTGTCTGGTCAGACAGGGCTGCCTTGTCCCCCACCCCTCGCCAGGGCCCCCAGCTCCTCCAGAGACAGCTCAGGGCTTCCCTGGACCCCAGCCCCATCTGCCCGGCCTGCACCTGGCTCTTCACTGCTAAGGCCGAGCCGCCAGGCTCCACGCTCGCTTCTGGAGGGCATGTGTTCACGCTCCTGCCTCAGAGACAGCTTAGCTGAGCCGTGTGACAAGGTAACGGCCCCTCCTCACCATTGTGCGTGCCCGCCCTGGGATGAAGCGGGGTCCCCTGCTCCCCCAGCTGAGTCTTGGGACGAGACTGCATCTCACTGTAGGGAGGGGCCCAGCCCCAGGTCCCTGCTGTGTGGCCCTTGCCCTGGCCAGCGACACAGCGGTCAGACGTCCAGCCAGCGCCCCAGCTGCCTGCCCAGGAGGAGCCCCGACTCGCAGTGGGCCCCGGCACTGAGGGCGTGGTGAATCTGGATGCAGTTTCTGAGGCCCCCATGCACCGTTCGCTCACTTGGCCCAAGGTCAGCTCCTCAGCCTCACACAGAGCCGCTGCCGGCCAGGCGGCACCTGCTTGCCCAGCTGTTGGGGAGCCGGGGACCGACCCCTTGGGCCTCTGCAGGGCACAGGGGCCATTCCTGAGTCCTCTGTGGCGCCGTCACAGCCCAGGGTGCCGCAGGAGCGTGCCTCCCGCGGTGTGGGGTCACCGCAGGCAGGGGTCAGCTCAGGCGCCAGCTCTGGGTCCTCCCTGGTGTGCAGGACTCCCAGGAACAAGTGGATCCACACTGGGGCTCGTGGCAGCCCCTAGGCGCATGCGAGATTTTCCCAGAGAAGGAAGTGGAGGCGGCTGACGACTGAGTTGGCTGTGGGGGCGACACCTTCGCCACCAGATTCGCTGCCGTGAGAGGCGGGCCCCTCCCTCTCCATGTGCGTGCCCAGGCAGGGGCTCGTTCAGTGACGCCAGCAGACGGGCATCTGGGGGTCACTGTCAGGCCCAGCTCTGCAGGTGACGGTGCTTTACTGGCTGTGTGCTCTGGCTGGGGACCCACATTCCTGGGCCCTGTTTCCATCACTCGGGGAGGAGTTGGACCCTCAGTGATAGGGGGTTGGCTCAGGGAGGGGCTCCCTGGCCCAGAGTTGCAGGGGCAGGGGTGGGTCCTGTGAGTCAGCTCTGGTTGCCAGGGCAGCAGCCGGATGCCGGATGCCGTAGTCGGCCTCCTTGGGGAGTAACCTGTACCCCTCAGATCCGCACTGGGCCAGTGGCCCCGCCTCAGTGGAGCACCTGCTGGCGGCAGCCCTGGGTCACGCGGCCTGAGCTGGGACAGCAAGACCAGCAGCAGCTTTGGCAGAACCTCCTGCACCACGTAGAAGCGGACAGGGCACCGGCAGTGCCCAGGGCGGGTGGCCGAGCACACACACTGCAGCGTGGTGAGGCCCTAAGCGCTCGTGATGGCCTGCAGATCACTGGGGTGGGCACCGAGACCAGAGCCGGCATCAGCCAGGCCATTCGGCAGCTTCCCTGTGCCTGCTGTCTGCTGCCAGCTTAGACTGCTGTGGGGCCCAAACGGAAGGAGTAGGTGGGCAAATGGGGGAACGAGACCCAGCACTCCACTGCGGAGGAACCTGCCCGGAGGCTCCGTGCGCCTGTGCTCTGGCGCCGGTGCTGGCCTGCGCCTCTGCCAGGAGGCGTTCGCTGCTGTTGGACCAAATTGCTGCAATGTGTGGCCTCCTTCAGTGTCCACTGTGATGCTGGTGGACACTGGGTGCACAGCTCGCCCCACATGGACGTGTGCGCCGGGCCTCGCTGTCGCCTCCTGGTTCTGGGGGTCGCGGTGTCTGGGGGATGCCTGCGGCAGCCAGGGCACCCTCCCCGGCTGCTGGGTTCAGTGTCTGACTCAATTCCGCTCTCCGTGGGAGCCCAGAAACGCCCCCTGGACGTGTGCAGAGAAGTGCCAGTGATTGGATTGGCTGGTGGCGGCCGGTGCTGGCAGCGCCCACGGCTGGGCCACGGGGTCCCCGGTGGAGGGGGGCAGAGCTCTCGCTGCTCTGCTGGCTCGGCCTCCCGCCGCCAGGCCGCCGGGCCCTGGGGGAGGGTGTCCTCACACAGCAGCCCAGCGTGGCTGTCGTCCCCAGTGTGGCCGCTGCAGAGGCACAGGCTCCTCCCCCGTCTCCAGTGGACGCTTGCGGTGGGGGTGGGGTCCTCCCAAGTCGTGGAGAGCGGTTTTCCTGCGTGGCCGAGCGCAGGGACGTCAGGCACCAGGACGGCTGAGAAGCAGGGTCCAGGGCCGGGCTGGGAGGGCGTGGCCAGGGAGGGCACTCAGCTGCGGGAAGTTTGGGTTCCACCTGGATCTGTGCCCAGGTGGCCAGTGTGAGGCTGTGGGGACATCGGGTACGATACACCCACGCTTCCAAGGGTGAGATGGGGTCCCGGAGCTCCAGGGAGGGGCTGAGCTGGCGCACAAGCACACACACAAATGCACACACATGTACACACACATGCGTGCACACACACCCCCAGAGTGCTGCCATGCGCCGAGCCCGAGGCCCCTCTGCACTCCCGACGCATTCTGCCTCACAGCACAGAAATGGCAGAAGGACGGCGGGAGGGCGGCTGCGTGTGCGGCTGCCGCGGGGGCTGGGTGGGCCCTGCCTGTACCGCTCACCCACTCTCTCCTGCTTGCAGCTTGCAGGATGCTGGCGTCGGGTTCATCCTGGTCATAGACCGCAGGCAGGACAAATGGAGCTCCGTGAAGGCGTCAGTCCTGCGCATCGCAGTAAGTGCCGCGCCGAATCGCAGGGGGCTGTTGCCGCTCCAGAGCTGCCCACCGAGGCGTCACGCGTGCGAGATGCGGTCTCCGCCACATGGCATGGGTGGGCCTTGCGTGTCGGGGCCTTCGGGCTGGGACTCGGCCTGGCCCTGGGCAGCTTCCTCCAAGCCACTCTCCCCTCCCTGGGAGACCCAGTCAGACGCCGCCGCGCCCCTCCCTGTCCTCACCCTCATCCCAAGGACTTGTGTCCGAGAGCGTGGGCTGCAGCGGCCTCTTGGCCTGCAGGAGCCTGAGGGGAGAGGTGGAGTCGGCAGAAGGCCCCCGAGTCTTCAGTCACCCCCATGTCTGCCGGGACCTCACTGTGAGCTCCCCCTCCCCGAGCCGGCGCCGTCCCCACTCGCTCCCCTGCCCGTGGGCTGAGCGCAAGCAGTGTGACCATCTGCAGGTGTGAGCTCCCCCTCCCCTAGCTGGCGCCGTCCCCGCTCGCTCCCCTGCCCGTGGGCTGGGCGCAGGCAGTGTGACCATCTGCAGGTGTGAGCTCCCCCTCCCCAAGCTGGCGCCGTCCCCGCTCGCTCCCCTGCCCATGGGCTGGGCGCAGGCAGTGTGACCATCTGCAGGTGTGAGCTCCCCCTCCCCAAGCTGGCGCCGTCCCCGCTCGCTCCCCTGCCCATGGGCTGGGCGCAGGCAGTGTGACCATTTGCAGGTGTGAGCTCCCCCTCCCCCAGCCGGCGCCGTCCCCGCTCACTCCCCTGCCCATGGGCTGGGCGCAGGCAGTGTGACCATCTGCAGGTGCGGGCAGCAGGTGCCGTGCAGCTCAGGGGCCCCCAGCACTTCTGGACGGCTGCACCCCAGGACCCAGAAGCCCCAGCTGTGCTCTGGGACCTGGGGGTGGGGGTGGGGTGAGTCCCGTTCCCAGGCTGCTCCTCACCTCCTCCCTGCACGTCCGCCCCCACTCCCACAGCCTCGTGTCTGCGGGCCCATCCCCAGCCGCTGACGCCTGCGCGGGACCCAGGCTGCCTCTCCCGCCTCAGCCCCGCGTTTCTGTGTCTGACAGAAGCTCCAGAGAAGCAGCTGTGTGGCGCCAGCAGCTCCCGTTGCTTTAACGTCCCCAGAGGTCTGAGAGCCCTTTGGGGAGGCCTCGCCGGCGAGCAGCCGCGTGCGCGTCACCCTGTCCGGCCTCAGCATGGGCACGCGTGGGTCCCAGCAGGCTCTCCCACGTCAGGCGCACCGGGAGCCCACAGGTTGTTACAGCCAGGCTCCCGGTGAGGCGCACCACTGTCGGAAGGGCCAAGGACACTGGCGCCACAGCCAGTCAGGCTCACCTTGGTATAAACAAACCACCCAGGGGCACCTGCAGCGCCATCCAGGGGCCCACTGTGCCTATTCAGGGCCGGCCCGGTGCTCGCGCCCCTGTGGGCTCCTGGTCCCTGCGGCCTCTCTGGCCTGCCTGGCTTGCGCCTTTGCACACACACCTCCGCAGCCCCCAGCAACTTCCACTCCTCCTCGCACACACAGCCGGCGCCTCTTCAGGACTGTCCGCGCAGGGCCAGGCTCCGCCCCTTCTGCCCGCACAGGTCACACCATCCTCGTCCTGTGGAGGGGGCGTGCCTGCCTCCACCTGCACAGAGGCACACGTGGCTCCTCCCTGTGTGGGGAGCACTGTCCACCTACCTGTGGCTGCACCCAGTTCAGGCCTGGCGCTGTGACGCCCCGGGCACACATTACAGCAGCACATACATCCATGTACCGTGCCTGGTGGTGCCTGGTGGTGCACGCGAGTGTTCTTCCCAGACGGACCCAAGATGCGTGCTCCGGTGCACGAGATGCTGCTGGAGCAGATTGTCCACACAGAGCCGTCCCCACAGAGCCGTCCACACAGAGCCGTCCACACAGTCATGTCCACACAGAGCTGTCCACACAGAGCCGTCCACACAGAGCCGTCCACACAGTGCTGTACACAGAGCCGTCCCCACAGAGCCATCCACACAGAGCCGTCCACACAGTGCTGTCCACACAGAGCCATCCACACAGAGCCGTCCACACAGAGCCGTCCACACAGAGCCGTCCACACAGTCATGTCCACACAGAGCTGTCCACACAGAGCCGTCCACACAGAGCCGTCCACACAGTGCCGTCCTCACAGAGCCGTCCACACAGAGCCGTCCACACAGTGCTGTACACAGAGCCGTCCCCACAGAGCCGTCCACACAGAGCTGTCCACACAGAGCCGTCCACACAGTGCTGTCCACACAGAGCTGTCCCCACAGTGCTGTCCCCACAGAGCCGTACACACAGTCATGTCCACAGAGTGACGTCCACACAGAGCCGTCCACACAGTGCTGTCCCCACAGTGCTGTCCCCACAGAGCCATCCCCACAGTGCTGTTCACACAGAGCCGTCCCCACAGTGCTGTCCCCACAGAGCCGTCCACACAGTGCTGTACACAGAGCCGTCCCCACAGAGCCGTCCCCACAGAGCCGTCCACACAGAGCCGTCCACACAGTGCTGTCCACACAGAGCCGTCCACACAGAGCCGTCCACACAGAGCCGTCCACACAGAGCCGTCCACACAGTCATGTCCATACAGAGCTGTCCACACAGAGCCGTCCACACAGAGCCGTCCACACAGTGCCGTCCTCACAGAGCCGTCCACACAGAGCCGTCCACACAGTGCTGTACACAGAGCCGTCCCCACAGAGCCGTCCACACAGAGCCGTCCACACAGAGCCGTCCACACAGTGCTGTCCACACAGAGCTGTCCCCACAGAGCCGTCCACACAGTCATGTCCACACAGTGACGTCCACACAGAGCCGTCCACACAGTGCTGTCCCCACAGTGCTGTCCCCACAGAGCCGTCCCCACAGTGCTGTTCACACAGAGCCATCCCCACAGTGCTGTCCCCACAGAGCCGTCCACACAGTGCTGTCCACACAGAGCAGTCCACACAGTGCTGTCCCCACAGTGCTGTCCCCATAGAGCCGTCCCCACAGTGCTGTCCACAAAGAGCCGTCCACACAGAGCCGTCCACACAGAGCCGTCCACACAGTGCCGTCCCCACAGTGCCGTCCACACAGAGCCGTCCACACAGAGCCGTCCACACAGAGCCGTCCACACAGTGCAGAGTCCACACAGTGTTGTCCCCACAGAGCCGTCTACACAGTGCTGTCCACACAGAGCCGTCCACACAGAGCCGTCCACACAGAGCCGTCCACACAGTGCTGTCCACACAGTGCTGTCCACACAGTGCAGAGTCCACACAGTGCTGTACCCACAGAGCCGTCCACACAGAGCCGTCCACACAGTGCTGTCCACACAGAGCCGTCCACACAGTGCAGAGTCCACACAGTGCTGTCCACACATAGCCGTCCACACAGTGCATAGTCCACACAGTGCTGTCCACACAGAGCCGTCCACACAGTGCAGAGTCCACACAGTGCTGTCCACACAGAGCCGTCCACACAGAGCCGTCCACACAGTGCAGAGTCCACACAGTGCAGAGTCCACACAGTGCTGTCCACACAGTGCTGTACCCACAGAGCCATCCACACAGTGCTGTCCACACAGAGCCGTCCACACAGAGCCGTCCACACAGTGCAGAGTCCACACAGTGCTGTCCACACAGAGCCGTCCACACAGTGCAGAGTCCACACAGTGCTGTCCACACAGAGCCGTCCACACAGTGCAGAGTCCACACAGTGCTGTCCACACAGTGCAGAGTCCACACAGTGCAGAGTCCACACAGTGCTGTCCACACAGAGCCGTCCACACAGTGCAGAGTCCACACAGTGCTGTCCACACAGTGCTGTACCCACAGAGCCGTCCACACAGTGCTGTCCACACAGTGCTGTCCACACAGAGCCGTCCACACAGTGCAGAGTCCACACAGTGCTGTTCACACAGAGCCGTCCACACAGTGCTGTCTACACAGTGCCCTCCACACAGTGCCGTGTCCACACAGAGCTGTCCACACAGTGCCGTGGGAGAATTGGGACTAGAAGTGTTTCGGTTTCTTTCTTTCTTTTTTTTTTTTTTTTTTTTTTTTGGACAGGCAGAGTGGACAGTGAGAGAGAGAGAGAAAGGTCTTCCTTTGCCGTTGGTTCACCCTCCAATGGCCACCACGGCTGGCGCGCTGCGGCCGGCGCACCGCGCTGATCTGAAGCCAGGAGCCAGGTGCTTTTCCTGGTCTCCCATGGGGTGCAGGGCCCAAGTGCTTGGGCCATCCTCCACTGCACTCCCTGGCCACAGCAGAGAGCTGGCCTGGAAGAGGGGCAACCGGGACAGAATCCGGCGCCCCAACTGGGACTAGAACCTGGTGTGCCGGCGCCGCAAGGCGGAGGATTAGCCTAGTGAGCCGTGGCACCGGACTCGGTTTCTATTTTTGTGATGACTCCTGCACCCCAGGAAATGGGGCTTTTCTGTCCTCCTCCTGTGACTCCGGGTGCGCACCAGCACTGGTTTGGGAAAAGCAGGCTCGTGGGGCGTTCTCCTTTCATCCTGGCGCTTCCCTGTGAAAGGCGAGTCCACAGATTCCAGTCCCGGCTCCAGCTCGGGGCTGAGACCTGCTCAAGCCGCGGTGGCTGTGGAGATGGGAGATGGGCATCCTCAGGGACAGCGGGTGGCACGCAGAGGGTGGCCATCCCATCCTTGTGTCCACCCCCAGGCCTGGATAGGGGCTGTCTTCACGAGGGCCCCGGCCTGGGTGGACTTGCATGGAAGGGCGCGCACTGAGCAGGAGATGGGGGCAGGGCGCGGGCCAGCAGCAGGTGGGACCCTTGCTTCAGTTCAGGAGCTGCTGGGAGAAGCCGAGGGGAGGCCAAGGAAGGGGGGAAGCTGTGGCGGGGGGGGGGGGGCTCAGCCACTCCTTCTGGGCACCTGCAGGCCCACCCTGGCAAGGAGAGGCCACAGCCAGGAAGGGCTGGGTCCCACCATGTACCCTGCAGTGGTGACTCCAGGCTCTGTGCCCGGCGCCCCCTGTGTCGTGGGTGCCTCAGCGATGGCTCTGGTG